ATTTAAGTGTAGTAAGTTTGCTTCTAAATATGTTTGGGGTATCCTTTTTTTAAATTTATTTATTTTAAATAGAAAAAGAAAAAATTTGTTAGGCGTGGCTAATTACATTTAATCTAACTAAAGTAAAAGCAACGCGAAAATAACACCAACTTTAAGCCATTAAAAACTTATCTTCAAACTTGAATTTAAATTCTTAAAGCCATCTAAAAAATGTTGAATTTAAATATTGCTTGTGGCTCTTTGTTTAATTAAGAGCCCTAACTGGCTGCTCTGCTCGCCTTAACCCTTTACCACAGCACAGCATTCTTGGGGAGCGCAACATGTTGGTGTCGGGGTGTTTTTGCTGCTATTTTTTTTATTTTTTATTATTTTTTTATGCTATGCCTGCGGCTGCTTTGAAAGGACTTTTGGGGTTTGAGTCTCCGGCTCTCTGGATTTTAATGGCTGGTCCTTCAATTTGAATTCTAATTGTACAGCAAGTGTTCCATAAACGACATCCAGCCAGTCGACTGGTGGCCTGGTGATTCCCCTTATCGCTGGACAATTTTTCATTCAAAATTCAAAATGTAAATTAAATTTTAATTTGCTGCCCTTTATTTCTCGGCGCTGTAAAATGGATGCAGAGAAAGAAAATAATATTTTTTCTAAGTTATGTATTATATAATAAGAAATTCCTAATTCATAAGGTAGACTTAATATGATTTTAAACATATTCCAATTCTGATTTATTATATTATTTTATACATATTGTTTAGTGTTGGTTCATCTAATTACTTAAGAATCCCTGTCTGTGAACATTTTCGTTCTGTGTGCTAATTTGAAATGGAAATCTTAGGAATATTTCTAACTGGGCACCAGCAGCGTGCAATTGTTTTTCCAGTTAGCCCTTCGGTAAGAAGATCTCTCGTTGTTGTTCTTGTTGGCATTGCCTCGTGCTTGTCACCGATTTCTTGCGTTTTGCCCATTAATTTGCAGTACAAAGAGCCTCCGAGAGCCGGAGCTGTCAAGTTAACCGGTTTTCGAGAGAGCTTCGCATCTAATACCAAGTTCAAGGTCGAGTCCGAGACCGAGACCGAGAGATCGCAGTGCATCGCAAAGGTGTGACTATATACCCGCCAAGCCAAGTGTCGGGCCAAAGCCAAAGCCAACCCCAGGCAACGTCCAATTCAGCAAACCATTCGGCCAAGTTCTAACCGGCGACACTGAGCGAAAAGTCGGTTTTTAATAAGAGTATATAAAATAAATGAAATATTACTCACTTTTACATGGTAATTTGTATATATTTGAAGAACTGAGAATAAATTTTCTCAACTTTTTAATAATTTTAGTCTGTAAGAACTTTAAAACGTCTTTGGATATATTATTCAATAAAATATTACAAAAAATGTATGCAGGTATTTTAAAAATCTATAGAATTCATTTATTAATTATTTTTAATAAAATTCAACAGATGTTAAAGCTTTAAAGGCTAGTTTTACCCGTGATAAAACAATATGCGTTAATATTTTAAACCTTTTAATACCTATAATTAAAGTATACAACTTTGTTAGATGTTTAATTACTCGACTTGAGTTTCCAATAGTCGTTATTATTATTTTATGATATATATTTTGTTCAGTGAATCGCAAGCTTTTCATTTCGCTATGGTGGGCGGTGGCAGGCGCGACTCGCGTACCGCATTCTCATTCCCTGGTCATTCAAATCTTGCTTAATTATACAGTGGGTAAGTCTAAACGGCTTTTGTTGTTTTTCTTTTTTATATATGTACATATATATGTATATAATTTGCAATTGAAAGATTTTTCCCACGAATCGCGAATTTCCATTAAGCCATTGGCTTTGAAACGTCAAGTGCTTGGCCACGAGAACCGAATACGGCACGTTTTCCAATTGAGCAACGTCGAAGAATGCTCTCCACCTGAAGGGTACTTCCCAATATAAATATTTATTCTACAGGTAATTTAGGATTTGCTCTAAAGACAAAAGAACAGCTCAGCTTAGTGGGGAAAGGCACATTCGAATGGTTAAGATGATAGTTTCTATAAGACAAGAAAGGGAAAGTCAAGAGATTAATTCTGAATCTACAATCGACAATCGGATATAAAAAGAATTTTTGTTGATTTTTATTATTTAATCAAATCCTATCACTTGATATATTTCTGTATTAGCCTTAAGTTTATTTCCACATGGCTTTAAGCCCCTCTAGAATAATCTTTTTAATAGCAGCGATTTGTGTAATAAACCCTTTATATATGTAGAACGACAATTAATCAAACAATCAATCAATTCTCAAACCTATCTGTTTGCACACAAATGCAATAATTAACTATTTAGCAGGTTAGTAAAGAATGCCTTATTGGAAAATATTTAGAGTAGTTTCTAGAAGTTTATCTAACGTATAATTATCCCATAAATCTCTCTTAACATTCCGAAATTATTCGCCAAATTATGTACGAACAGGCCAGCTTTCCACCTCTTCTCCCCCAGAGAATAATCGAAATCCAATCGGAAATGCTGCTAATTCGAATCTCTCAACGGGTTGAACACAAATCACATTAAAAGCCAACCAAAAACACATCCGACTTCAAACGCAGAAATGTGGCACGGACTGGAGAGTATAGTGTGTGGGAGTGTGTTCAAATATTGATAAATGACCGGATTGAGCTGCAAGGAGTGAACTTTTTGAGGGGCCACATGTGCAGCAGGTTGATTTATGAACGCGTTAGGGTAAAGAGTTTGGGGGGTTCATTAAGACCTCTTTTGATAAATGCGATAGATGTGTAATTTGCATTTAGAGCTGGCAAAATGTTCCGGCTCACATCGTCAGCACATCCATTTGAATCCATATAAGCCAGCCACTTTGTAATTATAATGCCGGAACGCCCCAGAAATCCAACAGCGTTGCAACGGAAGCCTTTGGCCCCCCAAAAAAAAGAAGAAATAAAAACCCTAAAAGCCGGAGAAAAATAACACAGCGGTGGTATAGACGGATATAGGGGGAAAAACTGGTAGGCAAGCACCAAATGCTGTTTAAACGGATATCCTAAATGTCTGCCCGGATGGACGAAGCTCCGCACTTTTGGCCTGACAGTCATTTCCGTTTTGAAGTTTTTCATTGCTTCCCATGGAGATTGACTGGAGAGAGACGAGGCGGGGTCCTGATGAGGACCTGTTGCTCAAAAGACAGATTTATGCCATCGTAAAATATGCCATTTGAATCTGGGAATTTAATTTTAATGTCGCAAAGGCTGTGCCAAAAGGATGCGAATGTGGGAGAGCGGGAAGGAACTGGGTTGGCTTAGGTTAGGCATAGGCACGAGCCCATCGTTTATCCTTGGAGATGCCTAAATGGTAGGCAGGGCGCGAACGTGACGTGATTGCATAAATAATTTTAATGTTGTCAACCTTAATTTTTCGGTGAATATTTGTAATCTTAAAGGGTTATTTCTTTTGGGGTTTCAAATACATGACGAACATGCTATTGACAACATAACTTTTTAATGCCTAAAAATAAATAAAAATTTCATTTGTTCACAAATTATAGCTGTCAAAAAGTAGGCAATGCTTTTTTTAGATGCCAAAGTTTGATTGAATATTTATTAGTCATATTATAAATTAAACAAGAGCTTTTTTTATGTTTTTAATTAGTTCACAATGAGTCTACGAATAATTTTAAAATTTTACACGTTTTTCCTGCTGTCGGAAATTATTGCCCAATTCGCACAGCATTAGTAATTTGAATGATCTCTTCACAAGTTTTCCGTGTCACGTCGATCGCTCATCCCTACCCGTAAAATGGACCACAGAATCCGTTAAAGCCAAGCAAACACACCAGTTCCTAAATCCACCCCATCCGCCCACACAGGCACATCCACACACACAACACGCACACACTCACGCTTTGGCCATTAGGCGAACGAGTGTCAGTGTTCAGCCATTTTCTCTTTTAGCGGAAGTTGTCTGTGTTAATGGAATTACATGAATTCCAACTCTGAACCGCAGAGTAAAAGCGAGAGGCGAATACAGTGGCGGGCGACATTTCCGCAAATGCATGGCCCATAAACTTTGATGGTGGGAGGGAGAGGGGCTGTTCCACGAAAGTTTTAGCCCAGAAAATAATATTAAAAAACTGGAGCAAGAGAGAGGGCGAAGTCTAGAGAAAGCAAGTGAGAGCGAGAGCGGAAATGATAATGGCCTGAACCGACAACCGACTTTTTATCGCATTAAGTCTGGTGGTTGCAGCATAAACATAATCCACTCACGAATTTCCGTGGTTCGGTAAAAGAACAAAATCGAAACAAATGTGCCAAATATATCCATTCAATTTTATTTTAATGCAATTTCAACAAGCTACAAACAAGCTTTCATAAAATGTTCATTTAAAAGCACGCATATGTTTACGACAGCAGCTTTTATACTTGCTTTCTTTTCTTTGCGGGAGTTTTCCACCCTTTTGCACTTTCTTTTTCAGTTCTCTCCTGTCCCTGTTCCTGCACTTTCTTTTTCAATTTTCTTGGCTTAGTGCCAGCGATTGTAACTCGTTGGAAATTCCATTTACGGCGAAAGAAATCGTTCTTTAATGGCTGAATCTAATGAAAGAAATTTTCCTGATACTTTTCTAAACTTATTTGAATTCCTTTTTTAACTTCCTGAATAACAAATAAAAAAGACTTAACAACAGATCTTAAAATATCTTCAATATAAAGGCTCTGAAACTATGTTTTGAGTCTACATATAAACCTTAAATTATTTTAAAATTCAATCTTAAAATAAAATCAAACTTAGAAAGAACAGTAAAATAAGTGCTGGAAAACGGTTAAATGTTAATCACAGATGACACTTATTCACCGCAGCGAAACTTGGCTTTTCGAATAGGTGGCAAGGCCAAATTCCTGCATCGGCAATGTGACTTCAGCCATTTTTTAACTTTTATTATTTCTTCACAAAAAGGTGTTGAATTTTGCGCATTCATTTTGAAATTAGTTACCTAACCTTCGAAAATGGGTAAGAAAAGCGCTTTCGATTTTATTAATCCAGCTCTTAGAACATTCGCCGGCCCTTATTTCCACAGGAAACTGGAAGCAACCCTTTAAAACTGTGCGGCAGAATCGCAACATTCCTAATATCATCACCAACGAGTCAATGATAACGACTTTTGCTAATAATCGCTTCAGCCGGGAACCGATTCAGTTGAGGATCGTGATCAAGGCGCTGATAGGGAACGGGTCTTTTGGACGGGTCTACAAGGCCCAGATGCGCGGCTCCGAGGAGCCAGTGGCCCTAAAGCACTGCTACTTCAATGCCAGGTACCAACAGCGCGAGGTGGAGATTTTTAAGCAATTGGAGGACCACTGCAACATTGTCAAGCTAATCATGCACTCCAACGTCATTTTGGGCAATCCACCAAAGGGTAGCATTATCCTGATCATGGAATACATGCCGATGAACCTGCTGGAATACATCAAAGGCTACCGAAATAACCAGCAGCCAAAGGAAGCGGAAATCTATGTGCGCATTCTATCGTACCAGATGTTCCGGGGACTGGGCTACCTCCACTCGCTAGGGATCTGCCACAGGGATATCAAGCCGGATAACCTGCTGGTGGACAGCCAGAGCATGCAGCTGAAACTGGCAGATTTTGGTACTGCAAAGAATCTGGTAAAGCAGACGCCCAACTTGACCTATGTTGGCTCTCGGCTCTATCGGGCCCCGCAGCTGTTTGCCAAATACGATTGCTACGACTGCTCTATAGACATCTGGAGTGCCGGCTGCGTCCTTGCCGAGCTGCTGAAGGGAACTCCGCTCTTTGAGAGCAACAAAGTCGATCTAGAGCAGTTGCATCATATGGTAAGCCTGCTGGGCACTGAGGGCTTACATTGCGCCCAAGAAGTACACTCAGTGTGTGCTGGTATGGACTACGCAATCCGTCCCAGCTGGGATCATTTGCTGCAGGTTGACGTTCCGCCGGATTTGTCGGATCTGCTAAACTCATGTTTGGTCTATGAGTCTGCTGGCCGGATTTTGCCCATGGTGGCGTGTGCACATGTCGCCTACGATACACTGCGGATCATGGACACCTTGGGCTGCCGCATGCCCAATGGCCAGAAGTTGCCGCCATTGTTCAACTTTATCGACCAGGAGCTGGGACTAGATGAGAAGCTTCGGGTGGACCTGCTGCCTCTCCACCTATCTGAGCTGGCGGTAGAGCTCGAGAAGACTGATGTGGCTGCCAATGAAGATGTGCAGTCTTAACACTTAATTTAATTGTTAAACTTTACAAACAATCTCTCCTCAGAGAGCGATATTCAGTGAATATTAAGTCACAAAGTCTATTTATATTTAATAATAAACCAGAAAATTATTAAAACTGTAAACAATTCATGTGGTATCTACTCTTTCTCTTGTTATTTTTATTATTCACCAATATCTTAAATGACCAGGCACTATAGATTATTGCCAGAAAAACACGAGGAATACTTGTTCCTTAGATAAAGAAAAATCTCTGGACCTGAAACAAAACTTTGTTGCTTGGTCAAGAACGAAACGAAGAGTGCTTATTGGTGTCTATTATCAGTAACTAAAAACAAAAAGGATAGCCAACTTAAATCAGCTTCTTAAATGCAATAAAAACTTTTGATGAAATTATCCAACACTTTCTTACAGATCTCAATTGTCTACTGAGAAGAGCAGGCAGGTTACCAAACACACATCATGCATCATAGTAGCCCAAGAAAATTAAATTTAAAGACGTCAAAGACCACGCGACCCATCCATCGGAAAATAAGCTCAGTCGTAAGGAAGCTCCCGCACGAAAAACCAGAAAAATATTTGGTAAAGCAAATCAAAAATAGTAGCTGCGACCAGATTTTTGGCCGAGTCATGGAGCTGCCATCGATGGTGGAGCGTTCGGGCGATGACCTGGTAATACGCAGCCTAGTAAGCGGAGTTCCCATGTTTCGTTCATCCTTGGAGACCGTAGAAGAGCCCAATTTTTTGACGTCTCTTCCGGTTCCCTTACCTTCGATGGGAATGGCAAACCCCGAAGTAGAGAGTGTCATGGATACCTTGCTACCAGAAGATGGTCACTCCGCCATCGCCAACGAGGAGGACCTCCCGCAATGCAAAATCCGTAGAAACTACAGTTGCAACCAGTGCGCATTCTACACCCAAAATCCCCGGAGTCATCTCTCTCATCTACGCGATGTCCATGGCGAGCGAATCGTAATCAACGAATGCAAACTGTGTCTCTACGCCTCGCGCCACTTCCAGAAGCTGGTGCGTCACATGAAGATGGTACATGGCTGTTCGGATGACAACGGAACGCCAGGATCATCCGGTGGCGTCATGCGTGCCAAGTACAATCTCACTCGGGAGGTGCGCAAGCGGCGACTAGAAGAGAGCGTCGAAGTGCCGGCCTCAAATGGGCTAGGTCCCAATCAGAACCCTCCAAAGATGCCTCAGAACGAGCCCACGCTGGAACAGCTCAAGATGGAGCTCCAGCGGGAGGAGCAGAAGCTGGTGAATAGCTTTCAGATGTACAAGCGCCAGCAGGATATGCAGCAGCTCCTACAAATCGTCGACAGTCACGACAACATCTTCGCCATGGCCTTCGAGCTCCAGCTGCAGTCGATGCCCCATGCCAAGCCGGAGGAATCTTTAAAGTTGGATGTAAACAATAGCAGTTCGGATTCAGATGCAGCCCCACAGAGTCCCGCGATTGATGTGCCAGAACCACCGCCGGGTGCACAGCAGTTCCAATGCCATAAGTGCTCCTATATTACGCCCATCCGTTCCAGGTACAAGAAGCACGTCAAGTACCACACTATGCCGCTGATTAAATGCAGCTCCTGCGACTTCCACACTCCGTACAAGTGGAATCTAGACAGGCACACCAAAAATCATGGTGGCCATGGGCTTTACAAGTGCACCGTTTGCGACTTTAGCACGGACATTAAGCAGTCGTTGACCATTCACGAGTTGAACCACCATGTGCCCACTGTGGGTCACCAGATGGCCGCCAGGCGCAAGGCGACCACTAAACCCGATCACGATCCGGAGGATCAGCAACCCAGTTCTTCCCGAAAGATTGAGGGTCCCCCCATCACAGCCCCGGACTCTCCGTTGCTGGAACCCACAGGCATCAGTTGCTCTCACTGCCAGCAACGGATGCCCAATGCCATCGCTTTGGTCAAGCATCTTCAAATGTGCGCTCAGGCTCTGAAGAATAATCAGCATCTATTGCGGGTTGCCATGGACGGCGGGGACTCGGAAATTATGGATGAGGACTTGCCCAATGCTGCTAGTGATCTCAATTATTGCGGTGTGGAAACAGCTCCTGGCTATGGAGAGGTGATATAGAGCTCACATTGGATTTTTTATTATATTGTATTATCCTTATTTCCATTTATTTCAGGTCACTCAACCGTTTATTCCGGAGGAATCCAATGATAATACCCCATTGAAGAAGGTCTTCAAGTGTCCCCATTGCACTTTTTGGGCAGCCACTGCCTCGCGTTTTCATGTCCACATCGTTGGCCATCTGAATAGGAAGCCCTTCGAGTGCTCGCTGTGCGCCTATCGATCCAACTGGCGCTGGGACATCACCAAGCACATCCGCTTGAAGGCCATCCGTGACAAAAGTCACAACCAAGCCGAAGTCCTGATGAACGACGAGACTGGCAGACGCAACTATGCCAAGTACAATAAGTATTTGACTTTGATGAAAGTGAATGTGAACCAAGCGGGCGATGTGAAGCACATGCGAACCGGCGAGATGATTGTCATTCCAAAGCTGGACGATCACGAGGAAGAAATACTTGAGCCCATTGAGAATGCTCTGGACTTGAGCAAGCCCAAGGAAGAGGAATCGTTTGATGGTCAGATGGACACCAAAGAGTCGAGCATCGAGATGCCTGCACAGGACAAGATATTGCAGCCAACTGAAGATCCAATGGAGCTTGGATCAAATGGCAAGGCTACCGACTTGCCTTTGGATCTGACGAAGCCACAATGGCATGAGGAAATGCCTGCATCCAGTGATGGCTCATCAAACGAGAGCGATTAGATTACAGTATTTTCTGTTGTAATCCCAATTACATTTATAACAGCAAATAAACTATTATTAACCACCGTAGTTTTAGTTAATACTTTCCCAAAACAAGAGTTTATTTAAGGACAACGACATTAATTTTAGGTAAAACAAAGATAACAGAATTACATTTTAGATAAACATATTCAAATACTTTTCTATCAGGGAAGTTAAATAAAATCTTAACATTTCTGGCTTGAGTAAGTATGATCCTCAGGCAGGCATAAATTACTTGGGGTTGCACTATAAAATCATTCAAAATTTGGAAAAATGTATTTCGATATCTTCCATTATAATTCTAATTCAACACACTCGAAAATGTATCTCGGAGACCAATAATAATTTTTTAAAATTTCAAAAACTGATTTTTAAGGGCAAATACAGTTCTTTAATAAGCCGTATCGACTGTTCATAAAAAATAAAACATATTGAAGTTACAGCACCTCAAATGTACCCAAAAAGCGTATTTTCTGCACTTTGAAATTTAAATATTTTAAAAACCTGACGTATAGGACATTTTCGGAAAAGTAAATTCCGGTTCTTGCTGTTCCGGTGGTGGTGTGTTATTCATTTCTACGGGGTGAAATTAGTATGTTTTGTTATTTATATTATGTAAGGATATTAGGGCAAGAGAAACAATACATTTTAGCAGGTTAATGTGTTAATTTAGCGTGGCTAATGTATTTTTTACATTCCTACTGAAGATCAGAATCAGCTATGCTTTAGTCTCGGATACTGGCTTTAGTATACTACGAATTTAGATCACGCGCTTTTCACAGCAAACATTCCTGTATGAAAAATAATACTATGCAAATTAAGACGACCAGCGGCACCAAGAAGCAGACCTCATCCATACTGAGTGCGCCCAGAAGCTGGCACAGATCATGGCAGAGGAACCGTGCCTGCAAGAGCCACAACCACAGGCACTAAGCCGTCTGGCACTGGACGCCCTCGAAGTGCGGCGACTGTCCGTCCTCGTCGTCCGGCTGTTGCCTGGGCTGCGGCCTGTAATCCGTCATTTGCACTTCTTCGGCGTTCTTGGGTATAATGATCTTCTCCCTGGGCGGTAATATATCCTCCAGCATGGCCAGCTGAGGTGCTGTCGCAAAGTCGTTGTCGGGAAATTTAACTTTGAACTTCAAATACAGATCCCCGCATATGGCCGGTTGGCTAAAGTCGGGCATGCCACAGCCACGCACCATCTTGATGTTGTTGTGCTGCAGCACTTCGCCCGGCTGTGTGCTTAGGCAAACGTTCCTCCCGTCCAGGTGCTTGAAGCAATGCCTGTAGCCGCACAACGCCTCCGTGATGTTGATTTCCAGATCATGCATATACAGATTGGCGTGTCGGCGCTGAAAGAGTGTATGCTCCTTTTGGGCGAGGACCACGATCAGATCTCCGAACTCGCCGCCACGCATTTGGTGGCCCTCGTTCACGAATGGCACTTTCAGCATGTGCGGTGCTCCCCGTTCCACCACGATGTCCCGCTTCATCTTCTCCTCCACGAAACCGCTGCCGTGGCAGGGACTGCACTTCATATCTTCCTTGATCGTAAAGCCACGACCATCGCAAGCCGGACAGGTCTGTGTGAGGAAGACAGCATTTTAGCCTTTTTTTATAAATAAAAACTAAAAACAAAGAGTTTTGATAATCTTCAAGGACTCTTTCATACCGCATCGAAGGGACTGAGTCCCATGAAGGTGAAAGCAGTTGCACGACCCGCTCCACCGCATGCCTCGCAGCTCTCGCGCCCTTCCTTGGGACCCCCATCGCCTTTGCACTTGCCGCACAACTTCTGGCGCTTATACTCCAGCTTCTTTTTCATGCCGCCCACATAGATCTCCTCCAGCGTCAGCTCCACCTTGATCACGACCTTGCCATCTCGCTTGCCACGTCCGGTCGATGCCCGCTCGAAAGGAAACCACTGAGCGAAGAAGTCTGAGGCATCGGTGAAACCCTCGGCGCCCTCCTGCAGACCCTTCAGTCCGTAACGGTCGTAGATGCGACGCTTCTCGGGATCCGACAGCACTTCATAGGCGAAGGATATCTCCTTGAACTTGTCGCCAGCATCAGGATTCTTGTCTGGATGGAACTCTTTGGCCAATTTGCGATAGTTCTATTGGCTCAAATGAAATTGGTAAATAGTTCTTATTTACAAACAAATTTGCTTGCCACTTGCCTTTTTTATTTCCTCGGCGCTCGCATCCGGAGCCACTCCCAGCACCTCGTATAAATTTAAGTTGTCCATTTCGTATTGCTACCTCGCCCTGCCAACCTACAAACTAAACGGTGTACATTCTGATTGTACAAATAATTTTTAATAATTTATATATGACATTATTTTCGTATTTTGGTTGCTGAGTGTGACCAAGTGCGACCACAGATCGAAAAGTTTCGGCAAAATTACTAATAAAATACCGGAAAATAATGCAATTCGTAGGACAGTAGAGACTGAGGGTTGGAGTATATATTGGACTGTACAAATATTGAGAGTGAAAATACAATTTATTAAAGAGAATTAAAAGTAAATAATATAAAATTAATTCAAAAAATCCAATGTAACAAATATATATTTGAAAAGATAAGAAATTCATACATAATATTTAAATAATATCAGCTGCTGACCATTGCCTAAGCTAGTGCTTACTGTACCTCACTTTAAAATCTTGAAATATACCAAGAAACTGAATGATTTTCGGTATCTTAGTATTTTTAATAATCGGCGCGGTCGCAGGCACGGTGGCAAACGGGGGTTTTCCCGGATTAAAACATTTTCCAATTCATTAAAAGTGTAATAAAGTTTACCATATTAAAAAAAATACTTTCAGATTTATTAAATCGAAAAGCGATCTATTCATGCATACATGCTCGCTGTTTAATTGCTGTTATAATTTGTATATAGAAATGGAAGCAAAATGGATAGAAAAACTGATCTTGCAAATTTGATGATTTTTAATTTCAAAAATGCATGAAATAAATAGAAAACACCACAAAACTAAAAAATTATGTTTCTTGAATTGCTTTTAAGTGATATTGTGAAATTGGGTATGGTTAAAAAACGGGCTTGGCCCCCTAGGTTTACGGATTTTTTTTTACGTCCTAGGAGGAAGAATTTGTAGGGGAAAGCAGCTTTTTCGGAGCATGTATTATTTAAATATTTAAAAATATATATATTATAAATATATATTACAATTAAAAATAAATAAACAAAAAATATTAAAACAGAACTCATTGTGAAATAAAAAAAAAAATGGTTCTGACTCATGACTTGATAGACAAAATTAATTAATTTATTTTTTTATCACAAAAAAATTATTATTCTTTGAATTTAGAGGGACAGTTGGATTTTTTAGGGGCAAATATCAACTTCTTGGGATTTTTTAAGGCGCAAGCCAATTTGTCAACTGGCCACACTGACGAAAAGAAGCCATCTTGGTTTTCATCGGAAAATTTTCCAGAAATTACGGTCGCAAATTACGAAAAAACCACGATCAAATTGGTTGGAAATTTTTTTAAAATTTCGCTTTTGTTCGGATAAGTGAAAAAAGATCGAGTCGCGTGCAAATTTCGCCCCCAAACGACCGCTGGAGAATTTTTTCCACCAAGCCAAATGGGTGCGAAGCTGACGACGTAAAAATTTTTGTGTGTACCAACGAAAGAGCGGAGGAAACGGACGGCGCGAGAGCGCAAAGCGGAGAGACCGAGGAAACACTCACGAACTGTTGGTGTGGCTAGAAGAAGCAGCAGGCAGCAGCAACAGCGCAACTCGAGAGTTTTCTCTCTCCCTGTGACAATTCGTTAGTGTGTGTGTGGGAAAAATGATGGAAAACTACGAAGAAATTTGCCTGAGCCATATTAAGGCCAAGGATCTGGGCGATATGGCCGAAGTGCAGTGCCAGAATGCTCCAGAGTTTTTTGCACAAACCAAATTTGATTTTGGCGCCGAAATTCTCGCCACAACGTCAACCGAGGCAGCGACGCTGGCCGCGACAGAGTCGGAGGCGGCAGCGGCAATAGCTACAGCACCATCAACAATAGCAGCAAGCGAACTGGCTGGCAAAGCAAATGGTGAAATCAAAACAAAAACATTGGCTGCCAGGGAAGAACAAGAAATTGGCGCCAATTTGGAGCAAGACATCAAAAATACAAACAAATTGGGAGCCTCCACGAACTCGGAGGGCGAGGACGAGGAGGAGGAGGAAGAGGACGATGATGAAGACGACGACGATGATGATGACGATGAAGATGGCGAAGGAGAGGGCACCAGCAACGAGGACGAGGACTCTAGCTCCCACTGCTCGTCGACAGTTGGTCCCGATTGGAAGCTGCGCTGGCTGCAACGTGAGTTTTACACGGGTCGTGTGCCCCGCCAGGTGATTGCCAGCATCATGCCGCACTTCGCCACAGGTCTTGCCGCCGACACCGATGACTCCGTGCTGTGGGACTACCTGGCCCACCTGTTGAACGAGCCAAAGAGGCGCAACAAGCTCTCCAATGTGAATACTTTCGACGACGTCATCGACTTGGTTAAGAAGTCGCAAAAGATCATTTTGCTAACCGGGGCTGGGGTGTCCGTGTCCTGTGGTATACCCGACTTCCGATCTACCAACGGCATATATGCGCGGCTAGCGCATGACTTTCCCGATCTTCCCGATCCGCAGGCCATGTTTGACATCAACTACTTCAAACGTGATCCGCGACCCTTCTACAAATTCGCTCGAGAGATTTATCCAGGCGAGTTTCAGCCATCGCCCTGCCATCGTTTCATCAAGATGCTGGAAACCAAGGGCAAGCTGTTGCGTAACTACACACAGAACATAGACACATTGGAGCGTGTGGCGGGTATCCAGCGGGTGATTGAATGCCACGGCTCTTTTTCCACGGCCTCGTGCACCAAGTGTCGGTTTAAATGCAACGCCGACGCCCTGCGTGCCGACATCTTTGCCCAGCGCATCCCAGTCTGTCCGCAATGCCAGCCGAATAAGGAGCAAAGCGTGGATGCCTCGGTGGCCGTCACTGAAGAGGAACTTCGCCAGCTTGTGGAGAACGGCATAATGAAGCCGGACATTGTTTTCTTTGGAGAGGGTAAGATTATTTTATATATTAATGAATTATTTACATACTTATCTTGCTTGAAGAGAACCTATTGGTTACGGAACAGATCTGCTACAGTGTGTGATTTGTCAAACTTTCTTTTTTTGAACAGCATTACTTTTGTGTTTTTTAAATATCAAAATGCCACTTGTTGCTTGAACCGAGCAGTGAGCTATGATTTTCTAAAATTACTAATTTGTAATTTCTCCACTGTCTTACTTGTCAACAGGCTTGCCGGATGAGTATCACACAGTAATGGGTACCGACAAAGACATATGCGACTTACTGATCGTCATCGGATCCTCGCTTAAGGTACGGCCTGTGGCCCACATTCCCAGCAGCATCCCGGCAACGGTGCCGCAGATTCTGATCAATCGCGAGCAGCTGCATCACTTGAAGTTCGACGTGGAGCTGCTGGGCGACTCCGATGTCATTATAAATCAGATTTGTCACCGACTCTCGGGCAACGACGACTCCTGGCGGCAGCTGTGTTGCGATGAGTCGGTGCTTAGCGAAAGCAAAGAGCTAATGCCGCCGGAGCATCATCGTCATCACCATCACCACCATCATCATCATCATCACCACCATCACCACCGACATTGCAGTTCGGAGGACAGCGAGCGGCAGTCGCAACTGGACACAGACACACAATCGCTCAAGTCTAATGGCTCGACAGATTACATTCTGGGATCAGCTGGAACCTGCTCAGACAGCGGATTTGAATCCTCCACGTATACGAGCGGCAAGCAGCGATCCAGTGCCGCCGATGCCGCAGCCATTGAGCGCATCAAGACCGACATCCTGGTGGAGCTAAACGAGACCACGGCCGCCCTTAGCTGTGATCGCTTGGCAGCTGCTGGAACCCCAACTGGCGCCAGCGTAACGGTGGAGAGCTATCGTCATCTGTCCATCGATTCTTCCAAGGACAGCGGCATCGAGCAGTGCGACAACGAAGCCACCCCCAGCAGCTATGTGCGACCCAGTAATCTTGTCCAGGAGACGAAGACAGTGGCGCCCAGTTTAACGCCAACGCCTTCCCAGCGGGAAAAGCGACAAACGGCAGCCGAGCGCCTGAAGCCAGGAACCTTCTACTCCCACACCAACAACTATTCGTATGTGTTCCCTGGAGCTCAGGTTTTCTGGGATAACGATTACAGCGATGACGACGATGAGGAGGAGGAGAGGGACCACAACAGACATGCGGATATATTTGGCAGTCTGGGCCCCAACTATGAGGATGACGATGATGAGGAAGCCTGCGATCTGAATGCCGTTCCATTGTCGCCCCTGCTCCCGCCATCACTGGAGGCTCACATTGTCACAGAGATAGTCAGTGGCGCTGACGTACCTCCGGCCTCTAACCAAAGTCCCGGCAAGAAGCGGCCCGGCTGCCTTCTTGAACAACAACAACCTGTGGCCGTACCATCACCCGCAATTGAGACGGAAACTCCGCCCTTAAAAAAGCGACGACCCAGCGAGGAGGAGAAGGAGCAGCAGCAACAGCAGACGCAGACTCAGGAGAGTCCGCCAGGGCAATTAACATCAGCTTCAGCAGCAGCAGTGTAAATGTACATTTGGCCCTGCTACTAGTTTAGTATTTATTTTAAAGTCAATCTAAACCAACTAGTAAACACAAGGCACACCGACACACACAACTCGCAACAGAAGAAACAATGTCGAAAGAAGCTCCGGAAACAATGCAGTACGCTTTCTGCCCCATTTGCACGCCCAACACTAATTTGGTAAAATCGGAATAACCATTATTTTCAATATGTTGTTCAAAGGCGCGAATCGGGAACTAGGACCACTAGATTACTCAACACGCGAGGCTTTAGAGACACCCAACCCTCGTTGCTTTAAAGTTAAAACCTACACCACCAACTACTCCTCCCTCCCAATTTATGATATTTTGTTTGCAAAAAGCTTTTAGTTTATTTATTATCCCTTTCTGCAAAACGAAACGCTGTAAATGTTAGTATTTTATTATATTAAGTTGTTATTGAGGCCTTTTTAGATAAAACGGATAAAAGAGATGAGCGAAAAGTGGGAAAAGCCCCCTAGGAACCAGGGGGTTTTCTTTGTATTCAAAGAAAAGCAGAGCCTCAACTTTAAATTTAGAATTAAGGTTAAAATATTCAATACTATAAACGATGCAACAACCAGAAGGAAAAAAAACATCTAGACTTAGTTAATAACTAGACACAAACAACAAACAAACACACACACTCTGTATATAAGCACTATCCTTTAATTTGTACTGTACATTATCCTTTTTCTACTCTTTTTTGA